CCTGCTGATTTTTTAATTCCAATACAATCGCATAATAAGGTGTTTCTGTAATTCATAGTTGAAAACTGTCATTTGAACATAATAACTTTAATACAATAACAAGTAATAAAATATCAATTGTTTAGGTTCAAGGAAGTCTTCATCATAAAATATTGCTTGCAAATTGTTTTGCACAAACTGAAGCTTTAATGAAAGGAAAAAATGAAAATGAAGCACGAATTGAATTGCAAAATGCAAGTATGAGTCCAGAACAAATAAATTTGTTATTACCACACAAGATGTTTGAAGGAAATAGACCAACCAATACCATCCTTCTAAAGAAAATAACACCTTTTACTCTTGGAGCTTTGATTGGTAAATTCATATTTAATATTGAAATATGTAAAATATTATTTGAAAGTGTCATTTAATTTAACTGTATTATACTTTTTAAGCAATGTATGAGCATAAAATTTTCGTGCAAGGAATTATTTGGGATATCAATTCATTTGATCAATGGGGGTGAGTAATAATTTCATTTTCGAATGATTGAAAGTATTTAAATAATTAAATAATTAAATATATTCATTTTATTTTCACAGTGTCGAATTAGGGAAACAATTGGCAAAATTAATTGAACCTGAATTGGAGAGTACCCAAGCAGTTACAAGTCATGATTCATCAACAAATGGATTGATTGCATTTGCTAAGAATAATAGTTCTTAAAAATTACTCAAGCAATATAAAATAAATTTAGTAATTGTTAATTATTACAGTAAAAATGGTGTAGTACTAAATTAAATTTAGTGATTATTAATTGTTACAGAAAAAGTGATGACAACATACATCTAAATTACTGCAGGAATATAATTTTTTAATGTTCTTTTATTGACTTTCATTTGAAATTTTCATTCATATCAATATACTTATTAAATTATGCGAGTAAAAGGTATAAAATGATATTCTATATTGTTAAATAATATATGATATATGCAACAATTATTTACATAGTAAAATAATAGTTTGTTGTTTCGTTTTTATGATTCATTTGATCATTTTTATAAATATTTAATAAATGATACAGTTATTATATCTTTATCTTTTTTTGTTAGATCAATTTTACCTTTATTTTTCTATTATTAAAAGAAAGTTAAATTTTGTATTATATAAGGTGAATAACTGTTAAATTTAATATTTACTATGATAACTTTGTCTCATATATTATATATTAACTCAATAATAGTATATAAAGTAATATATAATATAGTATTTATATTTGTATTAATATATAAATGATGTTAAAAAATACCAAAAATTTTAAAATAAGATTTTAAGATTTATTACAAGGTAAATCAGAATTATACTTTAAGCTATTTCGTCACGTTTATTACGTATTTAATCATATGCGCAAGAATGGAAAATGTGACGGAGAAAGAATGACCTTTCCAGATAGATCACACGTTAGAACGTGAGGGTGTGGTTACTAACGGTGTGAAAACGTGTATTTCTTAAATATTATATATATAATGGAATTCCTTCTACAAAAATATGTACATTTTGAAAAGAGTATACTACACAGCTTAGAAGATAATGGTATAAAACATCGGTATGTATATTATTAAATGTATAATGTAAAGATCAACATGACTTAACCTCGAAGGTTATTAAAAATATGAATTATTTAATATCTTTATATTTTATATTTACTTTGTTTAAAATTGTCTAGTATATTAAGAAACTTGTCTAATATATTAAGAAATTCAAATATTTATAATATATGTCATCTTAACATGATAATAATAATAAAAATATCTTTATGAAGATGTATTTTTGGTTAAGTATATAAAATAATTGATAATATTTTAATTTGTAGTATTTTGAATAAAAACATAAAAATATATTTTCAGGATAAATACTAACACTGGACTATGGCTTGGCACATTAGTAGGTCTAAGTGCAATTTTAACTATATTGAAAGAAGATACTAGTTATTCTGAAATATGCCTTATTGTTGGTCTCACAGGAATTGGTCTTGTTGTTTGTTCTATATGTTTATATTTGAGATTATCAACTGAAAAAGTAACAGTTAGAGATTTTCAAGCGATATATTTTTTACCAGCTATAATAACATCTTTATTGTACCTTTTTGTGGCAAATAAAGGTATATCAATTTAATATTATTATTTTTTAATATATTATGAATTAATTAAAGTTAAATTAAAATGTATTCTATCTCATATTATAATTTGTTTAAGTCACTGTAAGTTACATTATATTTTAAATAAATCTTTTTCATCTCTGTTATAAATATCTTATTCACTTTATAAATTTAATTTATTTTAATTATAGTCAAATTGTTTTATTTATTGATAAATAAGAACAGGATTACTGGTGAGCGTCATATGGGGCTTAGGTGTTGGAAGTTTAGGTACCTGGGGCATTTTGCAATTGATGTCTACATTTTCTTATTGCTTCACAATTGGAGAAGCAACAGCAGTTATGCATGGATGTATTTTGTTTATAATGTCTGTAGTAACCAATTTACCATTAAGATATCACTTGCCACCAATTCATGATGATGATATTACAACAGTCTTTTTACAGGTATTTTAAAGAAATTTTTTACAAACGTTAAATTAAATATAATTAATAACTGAAAAGTATAATTTCAGGTTGCAATACTATATGTGATATCAATATGTTTAATATCTAGTTATTTTTCAATGTTTCACGTGACCAAAAATTTTTATATATTTACAATCACCCTTTTATTAATTGTATTTTTACCATCAATGTATGCTTTATTGGACCAAAATCCTTTAATTTGGATGTTTTACTTCATTTGTAATAAAACAAATAAGGTATACATAATAATAATTTATATTTTTTGAAAAAGTATGAAGTCATTTTTCATGATTGTAAATATTACAGATCATTTTAATTGCATACTGGGCTGTATGTTTATTATTAGGTGTAATAGTTGTTATTTATCAAGTATCATTGAATCTTCGAGCAACAACTTCAACTAGAAAAATATTTCATTTATTAGCTGTACTTGTGTATATACCTGGTTTAATATATGAACGTACATTGCTGTATTTTGCTAGTGGTTTGATAATGGGACTATTTGTATTTCTTGAGGTATATTCATTTTAAGAAACCAAATTGTTTTAAAGTACAGTTAAAATATTCTTAAATATCTTTTTATATTTTAAATTTATTAATAATTTTTTACTCTTTTAGTTGATGAGGTACTTAAGAATACCACCTCTTGGAAAAGTACTGCAGCAAGGATTTTCTGTATTTGTTGATGAGAAAGATAACTTGGTTTCTTTGACACCATTATATTTATTTTGTGGTTTATCTTTTCCTCTTTGGATGCCTACCAACAATCTTTCATTATTACCTTTGCTCAGTGGTATTCTAACAGTTGGTGTGGGGGATACTGCTGCTAGTTTCATTGGTAGTAAATGGGGCTTCCACAAATGGCCTAATTCAGATAAGTCTATTGAAGGAACAATTGCTTGTATTCTTAGTCAAATTGGATTAATATGTTTATTAATATTTATGGGTATGTATTATTTAAAAATTTTCTCTTATATTTTCATAAACTAAATTTATATATATTATATTAAATTATATACATTATAATAATATATTTTTTAAAATACATAAATCATTATTTTTCAAATATATTTTATAGTATACCACAAAATTAATCTGTATTTTTTTAATAGGCTATATCAATAATGGTTGGTTATTTTTACGAAGCTTGCTATCAAGTATTCTGTTGTCTTTTGTTGAAGCACAAACAAATCAGGTTGACAATTTAGCATTGCCTTTGTTGATGTACATGTGTCTAAGAGTTTAGATATTTAATTAATATAAATGTTGAAACATACACAAGCAATAATTGTTCTGAAAGTAATTTGAGCATATTTGGCTGTTTAATGTAGTCTGGATCAAGGTATAATGTTTTCTTAAATTATTCCTTTATTTGCTTTTTCATACATAGACTCGAAAGATATATATTTACTGTGGTATATAGCATATATTTCTCGAATAATTTATATTTCACTAATTTGTTTCATTCTGAATAACACTTAAAATTTGTTACTAGTCAAAAGATTTTTAAATTTTATGTTATTTCATTATTATATTATTCAATAGTTTTATATCATTTAAAGATGTATGCATTACTTGAAATATTTATTTCTTAATTTACCTATCAAACAAGTAGCAGAAAGATTTTATTCATATATATCATAGTTGCAAGGTTTACTAAATAATATTTATATAAAAAACGTTTATATTTGTATATAAACACAGTACCGAACGTATACTTATTTGAACGTATAAAATCGCATATGAAACGTTAATCACTTGATACTTGTGCATTAAATCATCTAATTTGTTTTTTCTAATTTGTGCAAAAAGATGAATGAATGTTTGTATTGTTACAATGATACATATAACTTGATGTTCCATAAGGCATAATTTACTCATTCCTATTAAACGCATTTTTATATTCCACTTAAAAAATCCGTAAACGAAATCTATTAATAAAATATTTTTATAATTGTGTATATGTAGTCGTTACTTTATTATTTCTTTAACAATAGTAAAAATTAATATAAAAGCATATTTTGGTAAGTGAATAATGTTTTCACTTTAAACTTATTAATAATTAACAATAGATTAAAAGTGTCATCAACTTCTACATACCTTTCCTATATGTATAATTTCTTCTGTTAAATACTATACATTATTTTTCAGTAAAAGAGGACGAGTTTGAAAAAGAAGACTATTAAATTATTTCATTTTATCATTTTATTGACCACACAGTCTTAAAATCTGACCATACACAGCATCTCATCATATGCTGCATTTATATGCGTATATGATATATAGAATGTTTGAAAAGCACCAATTTCTTGCCAAGGTTTATTTTTAATTGCAAACTATTTTTTAAATATAATTTTGCTATATTGCAGGTTTTATTCGCGAAGAAAAATATTAATAATCTTTATATATTTTAAACTTTTAGTTTTCTATCGTATTTCTTACTTAAACATATTCTTATCAATTTTTTCATTTTTACAAGAATATTTAAATCATGTAATAAAATCATAAATACATTTAAATTATTGGAAAACGAATTATTGATTTAAAAAAATATGTTACACTTATTTACAATTTACAGTTTATAATTGTAAGTTGATAGAAACTGATATGTAATGAGGTATCTTTTCTGCTAATATTTTTCTTCGCGAATTATTCTCTATATCATTTTTTAAATAATTCCGTCAAATATTGCTGATTATGTCATATTGTGTCATTTATTAAAGTTTATTTATTTTTATATATGTGTATATTTATACATCGTTTATATGTGCCATTATGTTTTGCAACTATTAAAATGCGGTTAGATATTTTTATTTCAAGAAATATAGTTTATTTATAACTGTTAGATGATTTTCTTATTAAAGGAAATTCAAAGAAAAATAAAGCAAATAAAATAAAATAATGCAAATTCGAAGAGGGAAAAGCAAAACCAAAAAATTAAGTTTATGTATATCTTTTTTGTTTTCTATGTAAAGATTTTCATGGAAGTAAAATCATTTTTATCACTGACAATATTCGTATTGGTCATAAAAATCAATGCATATAAATATTTTATTATGTTAACTACAAAACAAAAATAGTTTTATCTGATTTCGCAATGGGAAATATGATATGAAGATTACAAATTGTTTTAAAGTATATTTTCAAAATAGTATTTTGAAACCTTATTCGTTTATTTCATTTTTTATCAAATTAAAAATATATGCACTTTCTATTATTTAATATGTAAGACATGATATCGTAAATGCATATCGGATTTGAGGAATAAATTGAAAAACTGGCTTATTTATACATTTCTTATTATATTATCAATTTATACGATATTAAAGTTTATTATTAATAAGTTTCAGTGATAATTATTTTACTAAAAGGTTATTTGATAACGTTTAAACATTTAATTTTATAAAAAAATATCAGGCTGTTTCAATGACAAATGAAATATTTTTGCAGTGTATTAATACAATAAACTAATTAATCTATAATTTTTACCTTAAATAGTGTACCAAGTGTAGTTAGTGCACAAATTTAAATTGCACATTAAATTCTAATTATAGTATGTTTTAATGTATTAAAATAATATAATAGATTGATTATAAATTAAAATCTATCGTTATTCGAATTATTGTATTAATAAATATTGACAAATATTAACACATTAATGTAATATTTTCAAATAATATGTTACATTTTCACATAAATTTTATAAGAGAAAAACAAAAACTAAATTAACATAATGGAATTAATACAACATATTCTTACATATGAAAAAAAAGAATCTTAAAGTGATTTTATTTTATTAAATATATAATAAATTGATGTATTATTTTTAGTAGAAAACAAGAAAAGTTCGAACAACTGAAACGAATCTCTTTTTTATATTTCACAAATCGGTATCACCTACATCGTAAATTTTAATACAAAAAATCGTTGTTCTAAAGTTTCTAACCGCGAAAATTTCGGCAAATGAAAAGAGAAATATAATCTGAAGAAATTGTGACAAGAATGGTGATTTTCCAACATTCCATACCGTCGTTCAATATGTTACATTGCATCTGCCGATCTCAACAAGTTGTTTCCGCACTGATAAATCGCTATACTATCTGAAAATCATCGAACGATCGATAACAAGCTCAAAGAGAACGACAGACGATATTTATGAGATGTTTTACTACGTGCTACTTATTATAGTCGTTTCTTATATAGTTGTATCTGTAATTGTATAGCAATTAAGTAAATATTCTGAAATTCTTGATCGTGTAATGCCGTTTTGTTTCCCCTTCCGCTGCATCATCAAGTGCAACAATACTGACCTTCGGGTTATTTGTTTTTCTTCTTTTCTTACTGTACTTAATTATGTAAATTTATGTATTCAGTGTATCTTTTGAGTCTTCTTTGATATATTGCGATGTACTCGTGTTACTTTCGTTTTTTATTGGTGCTGATCTATACCACATTTTTGTCGTTGCATCTTCATTTTCGTAAAAGTCGCAGCTTCATTATTTCCTTCGCATTAGCAGTTTCCTTCCTGGGTTTGCCTTTTCATTTTTCACAAAGGAAGGACAATGAAGTGAAAAGTTGCAATAAAAAAATAAGCAATCGCTTTATGTTACCAGTTATTGACTTTGACGCGCGCGTGTATGTGAACATCTTACTTGTCAGGTGCTTTTCTTCTGCAGACAGAAAATAGACATTTTTGTTTGATTTAATTAAACTCTCGGTTATAGCATTTCTTATTTGTTCGTTTTCTATTACCTTTAATAAATTCAAATTGTCAGAAAAGCTAGTAAATTTCGTTCATGTTTGTCACATTAACTTATAGCTTTCTATTCTCTTTTCTGGTTAAATAATTATGATCTATTTTGACATTTACTTATATTCCAATAAGATATATTTGCTAGACGTTGTTTAATGCTTTCATTGATATCTCATATATCTGTGTATCTGTATTACATTTTATTATTTTCATGTTTATCATAAAGTGCGACATCATTTGGTTGCTCAATGTTTATAAAAGAACAATAAACATCAACAGTTAAGATTGTTAATTTACTTGGAATTTAAATTCTGGATTTGAATTAAATCGAACTAAAAGAACATAAAATTTATTGAAGTGTAATTTAGGTTGAATTTACTGTAAGTTTGTTAATAGTCTATAAATTATATTTTTATATACGTAATTTCTAAAATAAAACTTGTTGAAATTTTTAAATCTTTGCAGTGAAAAATGTTACCTTGTTTTGCATCAGACGTTCGATACATTAAAAATATTCGCTTAATCGAGTTATGCGTGACTACTTTTTAGGAACATTTCTGTTATTTTTATCGTGAGATTTTCGCTATGTAGAAACACATCGCCAGAAAAAAAGCCCTGAACTAGCAAATATTCTGTAATAAGTAGTGGTAGATTATGCTGAAGAATTCTAAAGTTACTTTCCACTTTAATTGTGAAGCTGATATTCTCGTACTTAACTCACGTGTACAAGCTTCGTGTGTTAAAGGTTATCTCAAGTTTAAAGTAACTTTAAAGTTTCGGTGAATTCGAGCCTACGATAATACTTAATCGATATTCATTATTTATCGCAGTATTGTATTTGCGGTATATGTGAACGGGGCCTTTAAACAGAAATTCATCTTACATAATTAAATTCATTATATCGATGGTCGATACTTCGCGCGCATACATTAATTTATTTCCCAGTGAAACAGGTTAAAAAACTATTAATTTTCCTTCTAATTAGGATTTTTTCTAATTATATCCTTATACATATACCTAACTTTGTCAAATAATTAAGAAATACAATAATAATTGAATAAAAACAATCAACTATCGATAGTAATAAATATATCAATACACTGTCAAATAAAAAATTTGCATTTTTTAAAATAATGTATTTAGTTTTATAATGTAAAGCAGAGTTGACAATAATCTCACTTGTTGAAAGCAACTTTTACTATTTTTACAATCATTTCAACAGTGATCGTTTACTATTAAAAACATTTCAACAAGATACTATTGATTTCTTGTTATACTCTGTGCAAATGAGATTTTTTCATAAACTATAGACATACATTCTAAATTCGTCATTAATAGCAATTAAAACCACAGCTTAACTTAATAAAGAGCATCGTATCGTTTTCTTCTCTATTTAAACGTAAATTACATATTTACAATCGCGAAGCAGTCTCCATTGGCACTTCAAAACAACGTCACAATTCCTCGACCCCGTTCCACAATTAATGTGAAATAGAAAATGCTTCACTTTCCTCACGATAGTAAGAACAATTATACATTTAAAGGAAATCAAAATTTGCAAACAATGTAATGTAAAATGTACGTATAATCGAATAATTTAATACATAATCAACTTCTTATAGCAATTCAGTGTCTTCCCTCCTATGCACTTGTCACAGCGCACTCTGCCGGAGTAAGTCGAGAATTTTATTGAACGTTCTTCAAAAATTCCACGCTAAGGAAAAGCATTCGTCGAAATTCATGGATATTTTAACGGAAAGATCAGTGCTGAAATCTGAATTTATCAGCAATCGTAAGTTTCCTTATTATTAATTATCGAGTTATCATTTGGCCAGTTGACGTGGAGCTAGGGACTTTTGGAACAGGAACGAATAATCGTAATATTGTTTTTAAGCTTGATCGATGTTTATAACATTTCCAGTATCATCTCCACGTCTCGTGGTGTTTGCATGCGTTTTGTACAAGAATCGCTCCAAAAGTGTATTTTTTCATTCGTTTATATATTAATATTACATGTGAAGCTGTACTAATTCTCTAAATCTGGTGTATTATATGTAAATATTAAGAACAATCAAAGGTGAGTCCAATATTTTAATTTTCTTTTTCACTATATTTCTCTCTTTTATTTTCGTTTCCCATTTTTTTAAGGATAGAATCAAACTGAAAATTATTTTTAAACATTGTTCCCGGATATTATAACTTTTTATTCGATAAAAATTTTGGAGGGATCCTTGTATTTATACGACGAACGAAGTAAACACAGTTGCAAGTATGTCACGTGACTTTCGATATTCTTTTTACGATTAATTCGCTTTAACTTTACCAAAAACGATGGTCTTCGTGATCAGACAGGGTCGTGCAAAATCTTTAGAGCACATGTCTTTTGATTGACGAAGGGATAGAGTTGTACGAAATTCAAATTTTAAATTACAACATGTGCTATCTTTGCGTTTTTAACCATTAAACTTTCATTTAAATGTTTAAGTTTATATAAAATATAAAATTGTACTTTTTTACGTACTAATAGGAATATTTCAATATGTTCCTATTTCACAATTTATCATTCAAACTGAGAATCACTGACTTGTCGATATTTATAAATGTTCATACGGATCGATTTGAAGCTTTTGTTACTGAAGTATCTAATTTAAATAAAATATAAACCAGTAACTAAAACAAATTTTAAAATTATTTTGTTTTACTTTATCGATGATTTATTTGTTATCAATTGGCTAAATTGTACTTTGTCGATAAAATGTTAAAATTTATTTATTTTGAGGTTATGTTTTCGTAAGTTTTTAAAATTTAAAAACCGATAATTTCCTACTTCATGTATTTATTTTATAAACCAATAAACCTGTACTGGATCTCATTCATGTATTGATATATTCATGTAACAAGGGCCTTCTTTTAAATTTCTCATTAAAATGCAACTATATTGCGATAGCACGACCCTGTGTAGCAGTGTTTAACAATCGGCAAATGCTCGACCGCTTCGTAATTAACTGCTTCATTTTCTTCCTCTCTTTGCCATCTGGTCGGAAATCTTAAAACTATATTTATATCGTAAAGCATTTTGTATGCGTTTCTCCCGCGATCGTTTGCTACTGCGATCAATAATAGACATAACCGACGGTCCATAAGTAACCGATTTAAATTCGTTCAATTTACGGAAATGAAATTAATTATTTGTGACTACAAATGAGCGATTTTAATTTTTATCATGGTTATATTGTATGACATTCCATTGTTACTTGAGTGGATGTTGATTTTTATTCAAAAATTAAAAATTCGGATGTATCGACTTTCGATATTAAAGCGTCGATTATTATCGATCCATAGCTTTATCGATATTCAATCTCGACGTTGTTCACTTTATAAATCAGAATTTGGTAAGTGTATATAACGTGATTGTTAACTATACAAAGAAAAAATCTAAAATAATTTATATTTATTTATCATTTATTCTCGAGGAGAGTCTGTATTACTTTACGAGTTTTTGTTATCATGAAAATCAACGAACTTACGGAATAAATTCGAACTAACGAGGTAAATGTGGAAAAACACGGTTTGTAATCATGACTCCTTTGGTAACCAAACGAGAAGTAGGTGCAGTTTCGTTATTAAATCGACACCCCGATATACTCGGAAGTTATCATGCGATCAAAAGTCACTCTTCGTACGCGTTTCATGCTGGCACGTAACAACTAGATGTTTCACGCGGTGCATCCGCAGTTGCATCGATCGCGGGTGGACGTGCCGCCACTCGCTTCAAGCCTAATATATATCGAGTATTAGGTTTACAAAACAGATACCCTACTTCATCGTAGGGTTTCAAGGGGTTGGATCGGTGGTTTCACAATGGAGAAGGACGTGGGGCTTTTTGGATAGTTGGAGACGGGATTCCAGGAAAGTTGATAGGGTTGGGAGAGATTGGTTACTCCCTTAATTTGTGCCAATCAGCGATCTGCCTCTGCGGTGAGCTGCAAACTTCTCTCCAATGATTTAAAGCGGATCCTTGACACTCCGGGCCACCGAACTCGAGTCGTCCAATAACCTGAAAAATGTACAATTATGTGCATAACAGATTACTGTAATAACATGAATATATTTATTTATTCCTTTGGCTGATTCTTTTCTATTCTTTTTTTTTTACAGTATTTTTTGTTGAAGCGTGAATTTTCTAAATTCAATCGGTTGTATAAAATTACTTTGCAGAGTCTAAAATGTAAGTTACCAAAATATTATTTTTATTACAATTTGTTTAAGGGTTCTGATTATTTATTTACTACGCACGAAAGATATTCCGGAGGATGTTAAGTGGATTTGAATGTATAAGTTTAATAACTGGAATATTCATGTAACTGATAGGACCCAAACTGATTTTCATCCTTCAATTAGGACAAATTTTTTATAAGAACAATTTAAATTTTAGGTAAATTATTACGTATTAATAAATAATTGTTGTTTACATATTAATGTTTATCTTATGAAGAGTTATGTATTATTAAATTAATTGCATTTTACATTTATTTTTTAGGCAGAGCATTTTTCATTGGCTTAATGTGTTATGAAGCGATCTGAATAAAAATCATACATAATCTATAAAATTTTACGTAAGTATATTGTTGTTCAATTTTTCTAAAAATTAGTTCAAATGACTTCGATGTCAATTTTAATTGTTATGTTGAATTTTATAAAAAATTTAGACTACCGTATCTAGATCTGTACATTATATTGGAAATATAATTTGTTCCAATTTCCTGAGATTTTTGTGCACATGCGAAATTCCCGTATAAAATTCTGAAAATTGGGATTGTTTACGGATTGATTTCTCGGTTGAATGATATTTTGCCACGCGTACTTTTACGTTATGTAAGAAAATTGTGAAAAATCACGCTATGCCAGACGAGTGTACGACTTTGAGTCGCGTCACGCTATTCTCGTCTATGGTATTATAACTCGTGTATAGTATAGTAGCACGAGATGTACACACGTATACAATGTATGTACGTGTATGACTTAATTGCTCGATCAATCGTGTTCATTTTTGTTGACTAACACTGTTACGAACAAAATTACCAAGTATTCCAAGATTTTCTTATCTTCGTGTTTTGCATATTACGGGAGAAAATTCGTAACTTAATACCACGTTACATCGTAATACTTTTAATTCTAGAATGGCTTCTAGGGTTTTTACTGACCTCGCGATACTACATTTTCTCTCTTCACTTGTCAAATATTTATTGCATTTAAAATTATAAATAGAAAATCGTAAAAATGTAAATTATCAATTATCATGTATCATATGACGGTTATCACAATCTTTTATATAAATTTGCAAAGGAATTTAAATTTCAAAATAATTTCTAGAAGTTACAGATCGTAGAAAATATCTTGGAATTTTAGAATTGTATTATCAATGATGAAAGAGTACAATGAGGTTTAGCATATAAGACAAAATATGGAACCTAAAATCAATGAAATGTTAAATAATGCAGCGATGCTATTATCATAGTAATCTACATTGTAAAAAAAGTTATAGATTGCCCTTTCTTTAAACGCAAACGCTGAATGACTGTTTTATAAAGGTTGATATGAAAATATTAATTAACTGGAGGGGTGATTTTGAACACAAAGCATGGCATGACTATATGGATATCATTAATGAAAATTACTATACAGGTAGCTAATTGTAAATCATATATTTTTAGCTCCTTGTCTTTCATATTTTGTATATAATAACACAATTTTCGATTCTCTTTAATCCATTTATGCTCGTTTTTTTTTTGAAGAGTTAGTTCTGATCAATTAATTAAATTTAATTAAGAGTATATTTGCAAATACAAATTAAAAATAATAACTTATTTCTATAGACACCTTTTTGATGAGTTATGATATAAACAAGGAATTAATATATCCTAATATTGGAATACCGTGAAAAATGGTTTAAAGACAAATACTTTAATTTCTTAAAATTTCTTACGTAAATAGGAAAATATATTTCTGTTCATTCCTAAAAGAAATGAAACTGAAAATACATATAAGTCAACGATTCTCAACCTATAATGTACTGCCGTATGTTGAATATTCTCAGATGATACTTGACCTGATCTAAATTATATCAAGTTTAAATATTATATACAGTGGGGTACGTTAAAATGAATAGATTGTACGCATTAAGTGTATTCTATATGTAACTAGATCACATATTGGTTGTATATAATACAACCGGTATAGTAATACGCGAGAAAAAAGTTTGAGAGTCGCTGATAAAAATAATTTTACGTAAGATTATATCAATCGTAAAAATATTAACATTAGGACTATCAAATTTGTCGAAACGACTCGTGTTTGTAAAAACTTTTTGTTTCTATAATTACTGAAAACATATAGCAATATTAATGTTGACACTCATGGCATAATTATATACATCTATTTATCTTTATCATACCGTTTTAATTAATATTATCTGTGTATATAATATATAAGTATACATTAGAAATCGGTAGTTCTAATGTTAAAAATCAAAATTTGCAAATCAAGGTAAAATAGGAGGAACAAATGTTTTGGTAACTCATATGTAATGTTTCAGGCACGTACCTCATTTTTCGTAATGCGATCCCAATCGATCAGCATGAATTCGAGACTGACATTGTTAAGACCATTAGCACCGTTTGGTATGTCGAAAACGAAGGACTCATTGAAGACCGGGCTAAGGGTGCGTGTCTTCACACGCGTCTTCCTCTTTCCAATGCGTTGAGAATTGTACAAGAAATAAATCTTGACATACGGATCTGCCAACCCTGACATGTCCATCTTCGGCAAATTCCGTGCTTTCAGTACGACAACTGTCAATCGGTTGTTGATTGGTTGCCAGCAAAGAGAGACTAGCAGCTCTCCCCTGCGTTGGGATTGAATCTGTAATCATAGGTATGAGTTCTTCTCCTCAGTTCGTCGATGGAAAATTTTTTTTGATAAATCAATGATTATCGTGGAAAAGTAAAGCTCATTCATTGGTATGGATGGATTAATATTTATAGGTTGATTTTAATAATGTTATCGATAATTTTTATTCTTTCACTCTTTGTCGTACATTTATAGATTTTTAGTTTTTTCTTCTTTTTTTTAAAGCAATAATTTTCGTTTTATTAATATATATATTTCTAGTAAATAATGTCATGGAAAATTGGCTAATTGAATAACAGATAATTGGAGAAACTAGATATCTTAAATTAACGACTTTGAACGATTTATTTTTTGCTAGATGAAAGTGAATAAAATATTTAGTGAAGTGTTATTACATGGATTTCAATATGAAAGTTAAGCAATGTTTTTTAGTTTTTATTGTTTATGATATAAGAACTAATTAAGATTCAATAAAATTTGAAAACACTATAGTAATTTGAAAAAATAATTTTCTAATTCGTAGTTTGTTTCTTACTTTCAAGCTCCTGGGGCATATCTTTCGACACAATGATATCTCCTGGTTATCAGCATTCTCCAAATCGGGCACCGACGAAAGTGCACACGTCAATTCACCGATAATATCATCCCGGGAATATCTATCGAAGCTGAGTACTATAAAGTGCAGGCTAATTTTCTGTGAACGATAAGGAAAATGTGTTTCATCATTTATCCATCCATGAGTGTTTTAATTTACCTCTATTTTAAAAAAATGTTATTTAAAATCATATCGAGTTTATTTTTATCTTGATCTGTTTTAAAATTGATTTCATTTATTTATATCTTGAACTCAACTCGTCTTAAATTTAGAGGATCTCTATCTTAAGCTCTAACTATCTTAAATTTGATTTAATCTATTTGTATATTTCAGCTGCATTTTCCCTCAAGGATATTTGAAATACAAGGAAACCTTAAAATGGTTAATCTTAACGCTGTTCGTCATTGAATTTTTTATATCGAAGATGATATTTTAAAAGGTATATTCTTTTTCCTACCTCTATACATTCATAACACATTTTTATTTTTTATTTTTTTTTTCAATTTTATGTACTATAATTTACTTATTTATGACACATACACGTATTAGAATGTTATATAGTAAGGCTATTTTCAGAAATAATTTTTCAAGAAAAGAAATATCACGTATATCATATTTTAACATTATAATCGTTGGCTTTAATTCTTCGATACTTTATCATTTAGAGATAACGACAGAAAAAAGTAACAAAGAAGCGTTGATTGTAATTCATCTCTTATTACAAGTTCTCATTATCGTTAACAAATAATCAACCAAACTATTAAATTATTGAAAATCAATGAAATTACAATTAATTATTTATTAATTAATTAAATAAATATAATTTATACAATTCTTTACTTTTGTTAAAATTCAATTAAAGCCAATTAGACCTCTAAACGAGTAAAAGAAATGGATATTTCATTCGTTACCTGAAGTTGGTCCTTTGATATTCCAAAGAACGTGAAATCCTCGTGATACACAGGGTCTCTGGTGTTTCTGAGCACCCTGGTCTTCGCTTGATGCAGCTTATCAGGCAACAATTTCAATTTTACATAAGGATCGCTGGTAGCATTTTGCTCCCTTGCGGGTAATCCTTTGCAGTTCACCACGGTTACTCCGAGCGCGTTCTGTTCGCTTACGTACCGCAATTTGAATAGCAGTTGACCCAGGTTGTCTTCGTTATTCTCTGCCGTGTGGTTTTTCTCGTGTTCTGTTTTCTCGTTGTTCTCGATTTCTGCCTTATCTCGTTCATTCTCGATGCTTAGAGTAACTTCGCCAGAAGGTGTCTGGGCAGGGGTGCCTGTAATTTATCGAACGAGTAATCGTTTCTTCTTTTTACTTAATGAACTTTTTTAATACATTAATACACTAATTTGGACATAAGTATTGGACACTTTTCTATCGCGGATAGTATCTTAATTTTTCAGCGATTTGTTAATACTTTTAAACATACTTTTCGATTTTAAATATCTTAATTAACATTTTATTTTTTCAACCATTAACTAATATTTTAATTAAGAGGTTTTCAATTTTTTCATTTCATTGTATATCATTTAATTGTAAATTGTCATTTGTAATTAATGATATACTTAAAAATTATTTCCGCATATTGGTTGATTTTTATACTTTTTTATACCATTATGAAGGTTCGATATATTATTTGGTAAAAAAATTTATCATTTTTATTTCTTTATTATTTTTATTTAATAATAATAAAGATAGTAAAGAATTCTTCTTGTGGCTAAAAATTTGTTATAATTTCAGGAGATTCTAAAAATTTTATGGAATTTAAAAGAATACGAATGAGGGACTACGAAGCTGAAATTTGATAAACGAAGAATTACTGAAAATGTAAGATACTAATTATTATGTATAAACACCTTTTCAATTTTCCTCGAATTTTATCACAAACTTTTGAAACAATCGATTATTCGTTCTATTCTTCCGACAGAAAAAGTTTGTGTCGATATTTCCAATATATCCAATACGTTCCTTAAAGTAATGTTGATATCACGCTAAAAAGTTGATGGAACTCCCTGTATACTTTGTGTATTAAAAAGGTAAGCTTCAATTTTAATTAATAATTTTAAACACATACTTTTTAATCTGCTAACTGGAAAGAACGAGTTAACTCATTACATGGCTTGTTTATGATAATTTACTTTCTAATACTTCATTATATCTGTATCAGGTACATGTTACGTTACATTCATATATTTACGCCTAGGTTAAAATTGACGTAACGAAAATTAATTTTTTCTTAAAAACTTTCCGTACTGTATAAACTTCTGATTAATAAGTGGAAGTAGTAGTGTATTAATAAATAAAAGTAGAAATTTCCAGCTAATAAGTTATCCTATTCATAGATGAATGAGTACTTCGACTCAGAATGAAAAATTTTACCTGTATCCTGAGGTGTCTGAGATTGTGAAGTAAGATTTGAGGACCAGGCTCTCGCAAAAGTCTCTGATTAATTAGTATTTAGAAATAATAGTATAATAATAAAAAAATAAAAGAGTTTGACAAATATAAATTATAGAAGCTTCTAATTAATAAGTTACTTTGTTAACAGGTTAACGAGCACTCCAACACCGAATAAAAGTTTTACCTGTACCCTGAGGTGTTCTGGATTGTGAACCAGGATTTGAGGACTGAGATCCAGTCGGGCTGGGTGTCTGTCCACCGGAACCAGGGGGACTCTTCGCGGGCCCCGTCGGGCTTGGACTCTTCTTCAGGTAGTGGCTGGTGCTGCCAGGACTCTTAACCGCCGTTGGCTTCCTGTGGGGCGGCCTGGTCGCCAGGGACTTGTCGGAATTCAGCTTGGTGTGCTCGCGACGTCGTCGACAAAGCCACCAGGTCATCGCGACGGCGCAAAGTAGGAAAACGGCGCCTATACATAGTGCGACTACGGTTGTCGTCGACACTGGAATTACAAGTATTTTCCTTCAAATTATTTTTACATCCTTATTTTTTATCCTGTTAGAAGATTATTGAACTTTTCGTTGTAACGAACATCTATATTACGAATATACAAGGACTAATAATCCAATACGTATACGATTTTAATGAAACGAAAAGTTACGATAGCTTGTAATAGGTGATATCTAATATCTGCTATTAGCACCGTAGTTGCTCATGATTATGAAAACTATAGTGGTGCTGTTTAAATTTATCATATATGGAATATGTGTTATCTCTGGAACGTGACAACATGTTACACTTTATCTTTGAATTTCCATACTTACACTTCTAACGCGTTGAACGATAAGAAAAAATAAAGAAAGGAATATTGACTCTGTGAAGTTTGAAAAATTGAAATAAAATAAAATTGAAATCTGATAGAAAGATTAGAAAGAAAGTCATAGATACATTTTACGTATTTCTCTTAAAAAATTGACTTAATTTATAACGGACGATCAATGACACACACACACATGCGCGCGCGCGCACACACACACACATCGATAAGTAAAAATCTGTACTTTCTAAGAGGGTTAGTTTTTCATTGCTGACTAATACCAAGTCCTGGCAATGCTGATTCATCATGACAACGCGCGCGTCTTGGTTCATCCAAATTTCTAAAGAACTACCTACTAATCAAGGGCAAGACGAATTCCAATAAAACTATCATAACCTTCTGAGAATACAGTATGAACTGTTTTTATTCTAATAACATTTTCGTCAAGATGGAAAACACCTTTATTTATGCCCTACCGCAAATAGCACGTACATCGAATTTTCCCTTAACGAGTTACTTGAACCGTAATTTCCTAACGTTGATCCGAAAACATGCGAGAATAGTATCAACACTTGAATCTATATACGTAAATCGATACGTATATAACTTAGGATAAATGAAATACAAGAATCAAGTAGTAAATATCACATGGTTTTGTTAGCCATAAAGGAGACTATTGTTCGCTATATACATACGTACATCATCGTATTTAACTTGTTTGTCAAATTAGTCATCGAGCATGACAAATAATATATCAACAATTCCAGGACAATCCATGACCATTAAACCGATTGATTGATAGCAACCGGAAGAAACGGAAATGAAAACGATCGCAATCGATGGAAACACCCAGCCGTGGAACGCACAGGATCACGATGTAACAGCTGTCTAGGGTTATCGACGCCACGATTCCCACGATCTCAGCGATTATCTTATTCGTATCACCAAAAACAACACCCTCGAGATCGTGCAAAAATCAAGAGTAAAAGGTAACGCGCAATGGTGCAATCGCGTGAACCCAGGAAAGAGCCTAGAATCGTCGACGGAAGGATCGATGTCGGATGGATCACGAGGACCACCGTACTCGGTGGTACGCGAATGCATGGAACTCGAATTTCCACGGGTGTCTCGGGCTCCACTCACCAAAATCGACGGGTCGAATTACAGGTCCGTCTTCCGTCACTCCTCCGACCATGTTCGGCCACGTTTTTCCCCGTCTATTTGGACGCTTTTATCCGCGTAAGTTACTCGGCCACGACGCACTGAACGAATATTTACGGCGCGCGGACCGTTCGTGGTATTCTGAGGCGACCATCGGACGAAATGCACGATCAATAGTAACGGCCTGAGCTTGCGCGGAATACGCGCCGCTGGAAAAGGAACCAACGACAACGACGACGCCGGCGACCAAGACGGCGGTGGCAGCGATAACGACGACGCTAGAGACAATGCCGTTTTCGTGGCTGCACGACGAAAGAGGGGTTGGTTCCTGCGGGTAACGAAGGACTTCGCGCAGGTGACGATGATGCACTTCAGGGGCAGAGGTGCAACCAGCGGTCGAATCGATGCGATATCGATTGTTGGAGGTAGGCTGTGGAACTGTTCTTACGGAAATAATAGGATGATTAGTTTTTCTTACCCACGAAGGATGGCTCGCGAAGGAAGATGAATTTGATGGAGATAGAAGGAGGAGGAGGTATTTCGATGTGGATTAAAAGATTTCTGGATTCTATACGTGTCTCGAAAAATCCTTGGTTTTTTCGGGTATAGGGGAGCTAAAGTGACGTTCTGTTGTTGGTGTGTCAGAATAAACGGGACATCGTTGGAGAAAGGTTCGGAGATGATGATGATCAGATGGTACATTCTACGTAAGCACGTATAGTGTAATTTTGGTTCAATGTGCTGATTTTTGGTTTCGTTATTTGGTATAGGATCCGATGGTAATACTTGTTGTTAGGTCTAGAGGTAAAATATTCTTAATAAAATGTATGGATAGATATTTCTCTCGCCAGGTGTTATATCAGAAAGTGTATCTTTTTATAGCTATTGACATATTTCGTTTGGGAATCAATTTTTGTCTTTTTTTTGTAATATAGGATTGACAGTGACCCGAGGAAAATAATGATTTTTAAAGAAACAATAGGAAATCTATCTATATTTATATTTGGGCGTGGGCTACGGTACAATGGACCCTTCTGCATGAAACTGACATATTTATTAGCTTTTGCAAATTTTATTGATTTTTCTTGGTACTTCTTGAAATATCGATAAAAATATAATATCGATTAAATTTCATTCCAAAAGATTTGAATATATAATAATAATAATAATTATAATAATTGGTAAAAAAAATTCGTGTAGCGATATTTTTAATTTATCATTCGCTTGCTATTATTATTCGTGTAGCTATATTAGATGTGCTTGTTAAATTTTATTTACACCCGAATTCAATAAAATTAAAGAAAGTATCTAAAGCTGAAAAGGAAAGGGAGACTAAAAGCTGCAACTTTAATCCACTTTCCTCGAGCTCTGTTTTGAATTATCGATCTACATTACAGCTAACACACGGAAGATAATTCTCCCATGAGTCATCTATTACCTCGAACCTTCTAATTAGGTGAATAAATCTACATTCGTGTGATGAAGGAATTGCGCGTACTTCGTTATTCTGTCTGAACATATATAATTCGAATATGAATTTTCATTTGAACGAATAATTACATAAATAAGTCATTTCTCTCACTTGTAAATTTTCCAATCAAAAAATTGAATAACCAGTTGTAATTATTTATCTGAAAAATATTACAGAGTATCCATATTTAACATACATATCTTAAAGGTGAATAAAAAAATTCGAGGACCTAAGAAAATTTCAATTATCTGGTAAATTGCTCTTTTATCCTTTGTAGTCGTTTATGTCAAATTTATCGAAAATTTCTTCAAACGAATGTCATTTTGGCTCGATCGAAATATTTGTGAAGGCCATGTTGCGCATATATTGGTACGTGTGAAATATATTCGAGAACAGAATACTAAATTTCTTGTTCACCTGGATAGGTTCGTATTTTCTGTCTCCGAAAACGCGACCGATGATGGTTGACGTGAAAATAAATTTTCGTAAAATATTGCGTACGTGAGTCGCGACATAACGTGTGCACATAGAGTGAATTTTTTAAACGGATTGGGATTACGCCAGTGACAAACAGTCACCATCATTTTGGAGTTTTTATCGAAATTATTTTTAAATTTTTAACGTGTAAATTCGCGTGATAGTCTCGTAAAAAATTCACGAAAACGATTCAACTTCGAATATTCTTAATTCGTCATTTTTATCAATATCAGTTTGATACACATCCGATATTTTGTCCTTATTTTACGTTAAATAGGCTATTTAAATATTCTTCCAGCCGGGAATTGTTTTCATGGCAAAGGTAATCCATTGATTATTATTATCGATTCAAATTATTGACATTTTGTCTCTGAAACTGTACTTAAAATGAAATTTAATATTTCTGAGAAAAGTAGTTGCTTCATTCGTTAGGGGTTAATTATAAATTACCAAAAGTAACGTGCACGATATAAATTATTTGAAAGGAGTAAAAGGGAGTTATAATTCAAGGAAAAAAAATGAAACATCTGAATTTAAGTACTTGGGTTTTAATTTATTAAAATCACTTTATACAAATTTTTTCGAATAATTTATTTACAATAATTTCGTACTTTCAATAATTTTGTACAATTATTATATTATTTCGTTTGATATCATGTATTATTACATTTTATTTACATGATATACATAATTTAAAATAACTAAGTCAGTGCCGATAAAACAGATAATTATGTTACCAAATGAGATAAAGAAGGTAAAAGTAGAAAATTATTTCAAGATATTAGATTGTACTTTCAATACAATTTGAAATCATAGATATTTTTAGAAATTAACAAAATTATCTCTCTTACAAAATATTTAGAAGCTTTTTAAATACAAGTTGTATTAAGAATTCTCGAAACGAACTTTAATCGGCAAGTATAAATTACGCAGATAAACGATAATGATGATTGTTTGACTAATTATCTCTGCAAGCTAAGGGAATCTGACCTTACTTTAGAGGATAAGAAGGAAGTTTATTCTCTGAAGTATTATCAGCCGTCTTACAATTAGTCAATTGCATCATCGCTATCTTATCCGTTCTCCATCTATGATGTCAGTGGACAGAGAACTGCGCATGCGCATTTCCATCCCGAGAATAACGCCATGATATGTGAATACACGGTTTACCTGGGCGCGTGTTTATCTATGCCTAACCAATAGGGCCACGAAACGCCATTACGTCATCGTCGATAGAACCTGTGTATACAGGCAATTTCAACGGTTGTGATCATCCTTTTGAAATTACTCAGGAATTTCGTACACGGGTGCATGGATATAGATGGCATGATATTCTTACGCAATCATTTCATTTTTATATCATCGTTGTAGCGATGTAAACGTACATAATATTCCAAAGATGACGTATGTAAGTTTCAAAAACACTGATTTAGATTATTGAAATAATTCTCGTATGCGGATATATACGTTGTTAGAATTTACATACGTGAAAGTACAGGATGTTGCAAAGTGAAGGAATATGACTTGAATTTTGTTTTAGAGTTCCTAAGTAGTACGGACGACAATAATGGCAGTGGAATTATTGATCGTTATGAACGATTTATGAATCAAGTTTCCCAAATCGTACGTATAATAATATTTGTATAAAATTTGAAACTTCATATTATTACATTGGTTATATTATGGAGTAGAATATATCATATTACACTGTATGGTTATCCATAATATTTATATATCAGTATAAAATACTTGTGTATAATAGATCATGTTACTAATAGATATAATTGAATAATTTCATTATTATACCATATTATACCGTTAGACAGTACTCCAAAATCATTGGTTAGGGAGATTCTATAAAAATTATACAAATGTATGTGACATTAGGATACCAATCTGTAATGTGTACCTAAACGTAGTATGTACAAATAATAACAGTTACAGTTATAGCCCCATTAAAAGTCAGCATTGACTTTGTTAAAGGCAATTATACGGTTTCAAATAACTGCAAAAATAAAAAGTCCAAAACCAATTATTTTGACTATTTTGATAGTTCTAAAGAAGGAACAAAGGTGAACAAGAAATGCATAAAAGTAACGAATAAAAATATCTTGCCCTCGCGTTATGTATCTCTCACCAATTCCAATATTTTTTCATTCTGATAAAATTTGATACACATTAGTCATCTCTAATTCTACAGTTAAAAATATCTTGTGTACTACGTTACTTTTTGATTCTCTTTAAGTCACTATATCTCTCTCTCGAATCTTTGTCCATAGGAGTGACAAGTACCGCTATCGCTGATGCATGTTTGGAACGACCTATACACCGTCCTGCTGCCACTGCGTCAGTTGGTATCTGCGCAGAAGACAAATATCGAGTGGCTCATAGTAGCGTGGACTCGTAAGCACGATCAGACCGGCTTTTACGAGCGGCTCGATATAAGTACGCTGCGTGTACTCGGTGTGTTGAACGAAAGCGACGAAGGAACGAATCAACGTGTGCTAGACGGCTGCATAACCACTTCGAAACGTCAGTGGAATAATTAATAAGTAAGGAAACAAAGTCTCCTTATTGTTGGGCGTCAACAAACGGTGCAGCCGTGTCGCGGCAGACATGGGACTGAAGGATTTCCGAATAATCTTCGACAATCCATGGAATACTTATTATCCAGGACAGACTGTCACCGGAAATATTATTGTCGTGTTAAGCAGCACGAAGAAGATTCGCGGTATGTTATATTCGAAACTGGATCTTTCTCGTGTGACTCATTTCATATTATTTTTGGATAAATAACATTTGATACTACACACTAGTTTGGCGATATCCAGAAATCGACAGGTGTTCCTAAACGTTCTCGTCTCGTGGTAGGCGATTCTCGCGTGACTCTTGGGATGGTAACATTCTGTTGAGATGCGGATGTGCGGAGGTGGTGTCGGTGGGAAGATTATGGGCAATGCTGTATTTTGTAGACTTGAGAATATATGTATATTATATTAGAAGCACGGGTATGAACAAACTGAAAAATTACTTATAATATTATTCGCTGAGTTAGGTAATTTAAATAGAAAAGAAGGAAAAGATTATTTTCTATTTATGGAATTATCAAAGTATAAAATGGATATAAGAATTCAATTTTTGTAAGAATTAAGTAACGAAGAAAAGAATAAATTTATCTGGAATATACTTCATCGGGTAAATTAATATTATTAACAGAGATTACCATTTCTCGTTGTAAAATGTAAAATGTAAAATTTTATTTCGAATATTCGAATGCTTTAGAATAGAATAGTAAAAGGTACATTATTTTCTAAATGTTAAGCAACTATAATCGCATTCTTGTTGTGTAGCTCATTTTAATACTCATTCTATTCTAAGTTTCGTTCTAATTTGTAAGTGACATCCGATGTGTATTGTCGAGTTCTTGTCGCCGCATTCCTGTGGCGATTTTCTTTCTTCTTTGTTGCAAGGTGTAGTTTAATTATAGCACGACCATGCACACCCGCACAGTGGAAATGGACAGTGACGATCAGCCGTTGAACACTTGTTTTCGTCACGCTGTATAGCCATAACGATGAGTTATTGTCTATACTCTACGTTGTTTTATTACTATTTTATTACAGCATTGTCGTTGTTACCATTGTTACCATTGGTATATTATTTAGTATCATTATTTATATTGTACCATTATTACTACTTGTTATACTTGTTATTCTATTTTAATATTATTATTTTTGTATTACAATATTATTTAGAATAATTATTTATTACTTTACTAAAGCTTCACTATTTTTGATATTCTACTTTTATTATTAGTTCAACTCTTAACACCTGATCTCTTTTTGGTTGTAAATTTCCTCATGACGCCTTAGCACCTTTAGTTGTGTGGTTTCTAGTAAAAGAAGGCTGTTTGTCCTCGAAGTATTGCTATTTATAATTAAAAACTTATAATGTCAACTATTAAAAATAAAATTCTTCCATGGTGTCGTATTCGTGACATTTATTTGACGTTGATGTATCGTTTTATTAGCATAGAGTTGCCTTTGGTTCGTATTTAATTTTATGCCATTATCTCACTGTTAATAGTAATTTCTATAAATGCATTAACTTTGCAGTACCTACATTGTACAACTTAATGCTCTAAATAGCCGTGAAAATCTTTCTGATAATTGTTTCATTTAGAGATTCAGTACGATGTAATCTCAGAACCCAGTTAAATTTTTAAATTGGAATTACAGTTCCAAAAGTGGAGCATTCAGTAAAGCTCAGATATAACATTTAAGACTATCACGTGTACATCATAATGCATTTTTGAATGTATTAGTCATTTTATTAGTGCTACTTATTATATTAATAGTATATTACTCATTGAAATGTTATCAAAATGAGTTAACTGAATCATAGATTATTTTTTATGCAAGTCTTATTTGGCATCCATTTATCTTATATCACAGGATAATTCTAGTCAATTATTGAAGTCAGTGTGGCTTTAACTAGACAAACTTAGAAGTAATCACATCCCATAAATAAATGTCAACTAAATTTAATTCCTTTTCAAAATGTAAAAGATATTAATTGTTATATAAATGATGTAATTTAATAAAAGTATAACAATTTTTTAATTTTTTCAGGTATAAGCGTAAAAGTGAAAGGTGTAGCGAACACATGTTGGACCACAGATAAACAGGATATGGATGAAAGAGGACAGTACAGAGATGGAACTCAGACGGTCTCCGCTCATGAGGATTACTTCGAAACGAAGTATTACCTAGTTGGATCAGCTTCTGGTAAAATTTCAATTTAAATTATTTTGTTTGTTAGCATTTTTATTAGAAAAGGTAAATCAAGTTTTTTTGTAGGTGGTGAAATTGAGATACAAAGCGGGGAGCATAAATTTCCATTTCAGTGTGTCCTGCCGACAAATTTACCTAGCAGCTTTGAATCCGATTTTGGACACGTTCGATATACAGTTAAAGCGACTCTGGATCGTCCATGGAAATTTGATCAAGAAGTAAAGAGTCCTTTTACAGTTATATCACCTCTTGACCTTAATCAAGAGCCAAGGTCTTCGGTATGATTTGTCAGCAAATTCTTAATTCAGTGAAATTTAGTCAACATTCTAGGATTGAAAATGAAGTGTGGAATAATTGAAATTTATTAATGGTTATTGTAGCAAAGCTTGCGACAATCTAAATTTGACAAACATTTTAAAATAGGAAATTATATAGAAAGTGAGTTAAGAAAGAGTCAAAGTAATATTGTTAATCTATTTAAAGTTGACAATGAATTTTATAGCAAAAATGATGTATGGAGCGCTACATTTTCATTCCTATAGATTTCAAAGTTTTACTGGCTGTGAGTTTAAGATTTTAAAAAATTTGAGATCCTTGTAAATCTTTTAATTTAATTATACACAGAGTTTAGATATTGTATATAATTAAACTTGGTAAAATTTTATTACAAGAAGTTTAATATATTTTAGGAAAAAATACAAGAAGAAATGAGCAAGACGTTTTGCTGTTTATGTTGTGGAACACCGCCATTAACCGTTAATTATTCTTTACCAGTCAGAGGGTACGTACCTGGCCAATCGATGCCAATAAAAGTCAACGTTGAAAATTTATCTGGAGTAATCGTAAATACTGTAAAACTCATTTTGTGTAAGGTATGTGTGGTTCAATGATACTACATGTTGTATTAATAATATGAGATATATGAAAATGTTTGAAAATAACAATGAATCGTGAAGTCTAGATCGTTACCTATCGTGCCACCACACCAACTAGTGATACCAAAACAGAGGAAATCGTGGTTGCAGAAGTTGGCAAAGGACCTATAGAGGGAGGAGGAACCGCAGACTATGAACAGAAACTTGATATTCCTCCGTTACCTCCATCAAATTTGACGAACTGTGGAATTATTGATCTGGAATATAATTTGAAAGTCGTAGCATGTGTCTCAGGATGGTTAGTATATATTGTGTAAAATTTCCTACAAACTTGAATTTTTCTTTTTAATATCTGTGTCGTCAAGTTGTTCAGATGAAGTATCACATTTTCAGAGTATTACAAATAAATTAGTTTTGGCTTTACTATTTATTATTGGTATATGATACTTTACGCGATTCTCATTTAATCTATGGAAAATAGACAAAATATTTCATTCTCTGTGGGCTATGCATTATCTGCGGGTAATGGAATATTCCATTCTCTGCGGCCCACAGATTAAGTGTTAAATGAGATCTGAAAAGGATGCTGATTCAGCTACTTGACCGTCACAATGGGAAAATGACCGTACAAAATCGACCTTAATCGGTTGTTGAAAAGTACCATAGTAAGAGGCACGAGTTTGTTAAATAAGATGATTTTGTACTAGGTATCGTCAAAATCTGTCTCAGAACACCCTTATATTCGTGGGTACTGTGCCACTGATAAATTATCAAACTCCTAGTGCACCTCCTGCAGATGGATATCCAGCTGCCCCAGAAATAGGATGGACCACGTCAGGTATTCCCGTTTCAGTTACTGATGGTGGTCCAACGTCGAATTTGTATCCTAACTTACGTAAGATTATTATTACCTTGCCTTTATCAATATTATTTTTAAATATAGTAATAGTAATATTATTTTAATAAATAGGTATAATTTTAACGAATTAAATTATTCAGCATTTTGATTTAATATAATTATAAATAAAATTATTTAGCTCCACCATCATATGAGGAATCGACCAATGGTGCTAGGAGTCTATGGGAACGTGGTGAATCTGAGAATATTTTCGGTCTGTCAAACCGCTATGCGCCTAAGTATCCAGTCTTCAACTTTGCGCCAGTTCAATGAACAACGAAATGAAATGATTTTGGTGCTCAGAAAAAGTAAAAACGAAAGTAATACACGTGTCTTACAGTACAGTTTATAGAGCACATTTTAGGAGCTTTAATTGAAGTTAGCTCTCGATAATCGCGTGCGTTATTCAAGCTGATATTCTAAATTATCGTGGTTGAAGTGTGCCTTGGTTACATTTTTTTTTAAATAGATGAGTGAATAATTAATCAAAGGGAATAATCCTAAGGGAATAGTCATCCGAAATGCTCTTTAAAGGATAAGTGTATCGATATAATTGAATTTTTATAATTTTTTTATTTTAATACAAATTAGTTATATTTAAATGATTAAATTCGTCTTTAAAATCAAATTTTACAGCTAGTCTCGAAGATTGTGTATCTAGAACAAATAAAGTGATTTGGTCAATTAAGATGCCCAATTATAAATAGTTAGTATGCAAACGATCAAAAGCTGCTATTATATGATGGTAAAATGATCAATCTTTTTAAAATGCTGTGTATATTTTTCTACGAAAATTTTCGTAGGTATGTCAAATACAATACTAAAGCAATATTAAATATTCTTAAACTGCCAATATTAGATATTTAGCTTTCACAGGAATTTGTTTAATTTACATTTTTATATGTACATAAATATATATCATAGATAGTTATATCGATATATTGTGTATAACGAGGATTACCAAATTTGTATTTATATCTACCTTGTTGCCAATAAAGCGTATGTTTTCCATATATTGCGGTTATAACATTCTGATGTCGATTTAGTAGATTTTAAATATTCAGATTATTTAATCATGTATCATTGAATCCGTATTGATTCTTTTCCAGGCACGATTACTGTCATTTGGCGCCGTCTATAGCATTGCCTGGACAGTAGTAAGTAAATATAGATTTAGAATCTTGGATTGGTATACTAAATTAATTAAGAGATGTGACGTTATTTATTTTCTGCAAATATCTCTACAGAAATAAGCAAAATAAGGTTGGTTTGTAAATAGAAATTAATTTTTACTTCCTTCAATTATATGGTTAAGATTTAAATAATATTAAAGACTTTGAAATTTGTATTATTATCATCTAAATAATTTTTTCTTTTTATTATTTTGTATCATATAGGCAAACCCATTTTTGAAAACAAAATATTTTTCATTTATAACATTTTCATTGTTTCCTATTCTGAGAGTATAATTATATTAAATAAACAATTTCAAAAATGTTATATTTAATATATTTAATATATTCTCTATCATTAATAGATTAATCATATTCACCTTTTTTAGTTTCTTCAGTAAAATCGCTGTCATTCAAGTCTGTTTACGAAAATTTCTCCTTACCCACTGCAGTTATAGTAGGTAAATAAGAAGTGCTACAGGCGTTGAATTAATAATACAGAATACTCCTTAATCATTTTGTTCCTTTTAAATTCTCTTTAACCAATGAAATGGTTAACAAAAAGTAATGTATGAAATATATTTTTCTAAACAACTTAAAATAATCCGAATTTTTAAACTAATTAAAATTTTTCGTTTTCTAGGTACTCTCTTATGTAATTATCTTTATTTAAAAATTATAAATTCTAGTAGCATATAGTTACTCATCGTGCAAATTAAACAACCACTTCTTTTACCCGTGAAACTAATTCCATCGAAAAATGAGTAATAAAACCGAAATATTTTTATTTTATTAAAAATAAAAACTCGTATCTCATACAGTGGTCACGCCATCAGTGTTCGGGGCGTTTATTGATTATTCGTTGATCATGTTTTACGGAAAGATTTCCATCGATAACTTCATCTTATCAAGGAATGATTCGTCATACACGATATTTCTTATCTATTTGCCACATCTAGATAGTAGACGAATCGATTTCGTGCTGCTACATTTTTATTGCGGAACGGATCTTATCGGCGGCAAAACATTAAATTCGTCGCGCGACTTCGCCTTATTTTTCAAGTTTCAACATTCAATTGATAAAACTGTCAGTTGTGAAATCAAGAATTTACAAATGTACAATACGTGATTTGATAATTACAATGATCATTTGAACTAAAATAACTCACTGGCGAGTTTGCAAAAATAAGGAGAGGAAACTTTTTTTCACTTGGAACCCAATGATAAGTTACGTAAATCCCTTTTAGATCTTTTTTTTAAAAATCTTTTTAAATTTATAACGTAATTTTAATACAAAAAAAAAAAAAAAAAAATATTTTACACACAGATTAATTTTGTCAAGAGCTGAAACAATGGAATATTTCAAGCCCAATTGGTGGAATTACAAAGGGTTAAGTCATAAAACCCCCTATAGCTATCGTCAGAGGATCGAACAGAAGCTTCGTTGATTTGAATGTTAACGGGGTCTCCTATGATATCGCGGATGAGTCGAACATCGACGTATCGCGGTCACAGAGGTATCATGTTGCAATTCTATCCCCGTGCACATAAGTACATACGTATTGCGATTCTCTATGTATCTCGTAAGCGTTAGTCGCTAGTTAGACAAATGAGACGCTAAATGTCAACCAATTTTAGTGTACTGCTGAACAACGGTCTATTGTTACATTTCCTGAAACGTAGCCGCCAATTAATAAAACGACGCGGTTCTATAATTGAACACGTTGGTTTGTCCAGGGTGACTTGTCGATGTACTAATTTAGCTGGCTACATTTCCATATTTAGGATTTATAGAAGTTCGATAGAGCGACGTATCGTCGCGATTCGAACGTTCGATAACGTTCACTATGTAGCAGCGAATTTCCAAGGTGTGGCGATGATTATCCTTGATGGTGGTAATTACTGCTACACACTGGCTGAACGTTCGGATATTCCTTCGCGTTTGCGTGATTATGTGCGTGGTGTGCCAAGAAAGTGAAGTCTGGCAACTCATTGTTGCAATTTAGATTGCTTTAGATTGGTTTAAGCGCCAGGGTGGTAATGTTTTAAGTTTATTAAATTTTACTTTGGTTAAACGAAGGTGTAACGATATTGCTGTGGCTTTCGTATTTGATTGATTATTTTAGCGATGATTATATTCACGACATTGATCGTAAAAACTCGATTATCTAATATTTAAGATCGTGTAGAATTTTAGTTTGGAAATTAATAGGGAATGAGTTTTACTCATTTGGCATTTTTCATGAGAAAAATAGTTTCCTTTGAGATGACTTGAAGTATCTACAAATAATTTAGGTGTAGTGAGTTAATATATATTAGACCAAATCTCACTTTTTCTTCATATTACTGTTATAACGAGAAGGAGAAAATAAGATTAGTATTCTGATTTTTGTGCATCTTTAAATCTGTGCATGTTTAACTTATACAACGTTTTTTGGTTAGAGGAATTTTTAAATAGGTATTTTATTTTTCTTGTTAGCACACATTTTAATTTCGTACAGCGAGTTAATAGGAAACGTTTACTGCTCGTTGGTGTTCGATTTTAAGATAAGCATGGAAAAAATGTAAGCCCTGAAACTTACCAACGAGTTAAGTGGTCACCTAAGGCTGATCGATTACGTTGAAGTATCACTGGGACGGTTTTGTGTCCTTGAGAGTAGCGAATGAAATATTCGTAGGCTATGGTTTAACTTTTGTACGGATGTTCAACTAGTAAGGATAGTATGGATTATGATGGAGGTAGGCCGTTTTCGTTGCTTGAGAAATTTCGTTATGAGGAACCATTATCAAACTGATTATTATTCCTACCAGGTAAAATAGCCTTAGGAGTACAGACAGTTAGAAAGTAACTTAATTCTAATCATTTGTTCCATTTGAAAGAACATTTTCATCAACAACACCAGTATATTAATACGTTTGAATAAATTTGATTTTAATAAATTAATAATTATTTGTGATAGTTTTTCGTGGTAGCATTAAGAAAAAAAATTTTGAAATTAGCACACTCGTATTCATTTTTCTCTTCGATTTTAACACTTGTAATGTTATGTGTATAAGATATACCAGTTGTAAATTTTCTGGAATTTTTTACATGTATACTGTTGTGACAGTTGCATGTAAATTTTCTTCCTCGGGATAATGATCAAATAGAAAAATGTATCTTGTTTGAATATACGTTCTGCTTACTTCCGTGCTATTTTGAAGTCACTTGTAACTCGCGTGGAGTGAAACAAGTGTAGTAGATGATAGGTAGGCTAGCAATTTGCGCTGGAAGGTATAACGCGGTACATATGTAGTGTGTACAAAGCCTATATGAAATGGATATAATATTTTAATAGTAACAAAACTAGAATTAGAAGTTTCCTTTAACTACAATTATTGCATAGTACAAATATTAAAATGGTGAGAGAAATTTCCATTTCCTTTTATTAAGAATGGTTATAAAAAGATGACAAAATTTATTCGTTAAAAATTTGTAGTAAAATTGATTGCAGGTCTATTGAACTTCTTGTGTAAGCCTAGTAATAAAAATTATTCTAAAAATATTCATCTAAAAATTACTCATATAAGGTAAACTTTAATTTGTTAGAAAAGTATTGAATAATTCAGAGATTCCAACGGATCAAATTATTTTCTCTAAGTCAAAAGTTTCAACATGTTAAATTAGACCTTTCAAAAGACATTACCGCCTAGAAAATAGTGTTCCTTTCATCTCTTGATAGTCATTTCGTTCTGCTGAATTATAAAGGAATGTGATCCTTCAATTATCTTGAATAGTGTATTTTTTCCTTTCCCTAGCTATTTAGCCTAACCCAAATTATTTTAGCATATTTGATACCAACCATCTAACACGAATACGCTTTCATAGAGTACAGTACCCTTTCAAAATTTCTAAAGTTAGTCCATTTATGTCTTAGCTGTATTTCGTTCCAATACGTTGTTTTGTTACATTTTGATAAGATAGAGGTATTATAGCATTAAAATATATCTTTGCCAGTTGAACAGGAAAAGTTTGACGTCTTGGGACGTGTTATAGGGCAAAAGTTTTCTTTCCAGAATCAGCGAGGTCAGGCAGGTGCTCGTGGGTGGAATGGTGTCTGCGTTTTTGGTTCATGCGGCCGCCGATCGATAATTTGAAAGGTATCGGTACGTATGACCGATCTGCTAATGCTGTTGCAAGGGAGGTTCACGTTTTGAGGCAAAACGTTTTGTTCGTCGATAAAGCGGCATTGCAATTACCGGGAATTCATGTTCGTGAGCATATGATAAGGACGATTGAGCTGAATTTTATGCAGGTAGTTTGTAAATTTAGTCACAATCTGATCAAGTAAGGAGTCACGATTTATGAGAAAGCGATATAAGAAGTTTAGAGTAACTGAACTGTAGAATGAATTTTTTTTTATTTAGAAGAATGTATAATTAATATTTTATTAGTAGGTAGCATGGTTAATGTGTTCTGTTTGTAATATTATGACTTATTTTATATATTAAAAAATTTATTTTCATGAAATTTTAATATTCAGCATATTTGCCCTCTTTGCTATTTTTATGGGTTATTAACTTCTTTGGTATATAACGAAATTTATAATAATATGCTTTTTATCAAATTAAATCTTTTGTTACACATCATTTCAATTTATATATACAAATTAGGTTTAATGCATGCACTAACTGAATTCGAATTTAAATCTACCGCAGAATTCAAAACAGCAATATTCATATATTTCCTAATATTTTATGAATTTGAATAATCGATACTTTATATTCAATATTTTATTCGATTTGCATTATTTACATTAAAATAGTACAACACTATTTTTCCTCTTTCGCAAATTCTTCATTTCGATTCATTGAAAATTTTTATATTAATATGGTTGCTTTCTTGACATATTTATTAAATTCAAATCGTTAACAGTGATCGACTTAGAAGTACAGATTACTCGATAATCGTTCCTATTGTACAAATTATCATCTCAAATGTTTTTAAAGTTATTCTCAAATAAGTATTAATCTATATGATATTTCTTTTTCGTCTCAATATAAAGAACAATTTTAAATTTCAAAGAATGACCCAGCTTTTGTTTACGATTGGCCTGGTAAGATTCCAAGCGTTGCAGTTGGCGCGCCTGCTTAATGAGCCGAGGGGCACGCTGCGCGGGAGCGTATGCGCGTTGGGTGGAGGCGCGCGTGCACGCCTCCTGTCAGAGCTGTCCGTCCGTAACGCCGCAGGACGAGTTGTCTCCGTAGAAAAGCCGCCTATGGTGGTAGTGGTAGCTCGCGAGTTTCTTGAAGGATCACTTTTTTCTTCATCGTGCTACGGCTTTTCGCGCACAATCGATAGTCGAAACGTGTGTGTCTTACGCGCCACAGCGTATACACGTGTACGCGAATGCATCGCTGGTACACGTGCCTATCATCGTTGGCAGGTGCATATCCGCGGTGTTGTTTCCCCATTACTGTTCTACTGTCGTAATTTTGTGCAAGCGAAACATAGTGTACGACGAACAATTGTTGGTTAGCAAACGAACGAATAGACGCGACCAGGATGTCTCGAGGCATCGTCGTCCATGTGCCTGCGAATGCATCGATATAATCGGTCGTTTCTCCTGGTTATCTGGTTTCTGGTTCACATCTCGTTTCTGTGACCTGTTCTCGTAACAAGTAAGCTATTATTTCTATACCATTATACATATGATCGTAATTAATTCGTCGAATTTGATTCTACCAAATCGTGATTTCAATTGACGTGGATAAAAGTTTCGTTATATTTCGATACTTCGATGCTTCGATTTATTAACAGGACGCAACACGATTTTAGCGCGACATTCAAATATGTTAATGCGCGAGGCGGTTATTGGTAGAAGCTATGCTATCGATTGTACGGAAAAATAGGAAAATAAATTGAGAAATTTATAGATTATTGTGAATTTTATAGATTAGTGTGTATATATATGTGTGGGACAATGATGAAAAAGAATTTCACAGAATCACGAGAACGGGTAATTGTAGGAAATTAATCGAATGTTAAGACGTAGAAAAATGGCACATGTTTTTCACGATGACACTTTTATCGAATACCTTGAACATTTTTATGATATTGGATACTTGAACGAGCGATAAAATTACTCGAGTACGCGATCCTTTAATTATTTTTTTCATTATATAAAACCAATCTGTTCAATCTATCTGCACCTAACCTCCATTGGAAGTATTACATTTTTACTATAGGGGCTTGCAAACTGTATTTAAACTAAGCATATCAAAAGTATCAAAGTAGTTTGAATTTGTTAATAATTAAATTATTTATAAACGAATTAACATTTTTATTTTTATTACGATTCAAAAACTACTATATCGATTATAGAAAAATATTTCGCATTATTAATTTACCAAAATTCCTAGAAGATATATAATTCCTTCGCGTCTTGAGTAACCTGTTAGGAATATTTATTTTTACTCTCGAGTGAGGTTAATGTTTTCGTTAGATTTGCTTGGTGCCTGGTGTGTTTACAATAAGGTCAGAAGCTGTTTCGTTTCGTTTTGCAGGGTTTCTTGTTATTATTGCCCTTTTATCGATGCCGATCCGGTAGGCGTGTTAGAAATTTCGAGAATTAGCTTCAATCTGCTCGAGGTTGAACGTCAGAACAAGAAACTTAGTTTCTATTGTGTTTTCGGTGATTTACCCCTGCAGTGGATAACTAACGGGGGTTAGTAACCTACAAGGTTGCGTTTCGTGAGTAATCGGGGTCGAAGTGCAAAGTGTATACCGGCGTTATGTGAGCCTAAGAAGGTTGTGGAATTCATTGTGTTAATTGTAAGTGGAAATAGGCTACGTAATCGACAAATTAATGTACGCGTGAAGCGGTAAGACCGGTAACCTCACTTTTGTATGTAGTGTTCTATTTTAAAAATTTTATGTCTATAAAAAAGAATCCGTGGGGAAAAAAGAATATATATAAATATATATAAATAAATCACATCGTTGTAGTATTAAATTATATAAAATGGAACATATTACCATATATATTTTATATGTATAAATTATAAATAAAATTTATAAATTAATATAAATGTATAAATGTATATTAATATACATTATTATATTTGTTTACATATATTTTATATTACATGTATATTTGTTACATATATACATATATATATTCTTTACCATTTATTGTAGTTTATTATATGTATATGATTTGAAATTACTTTAGAAATTCTACTGTACACATTAATTTGGGGTTACCCGTATTCGCTGTTATTCTGTACTTATCCGTTCTCGGCAATTGCAATTATTAGTATTATTCCGTGTAATTCTGGAAAACAATAACTATGTGTCGTGTAGTAGTATGTTACATTCATATGTATCCCATTTAACAAAACGAAATTAATATGCATAGAACATATGTACGTACTAGAGAACATGCCCCTAACCTCGTGGTAGTGAATTTACGCAAAGCCTGACAGTTTTGCGTTTTGCCATAGAAGTGGAACGTAATCGGTTAATTTGCAACACTGACGTTACAAAAAGAGAATTGCCTTGGTTCTCGATTAACACTCGTTTTATTGTACCAACCCAACAATCTGATCGGCCATATAACCAACGTATATTCAACAAAAGTGTTAATTAAAACTGGAATACGTAAAATATAAGAGGACTAAAAAGCACGAAAGCTGAGGTAGATTCGTTGTGAACGTTGATATTTTTGACTACATGGAAATTAACTGGATTTTCAGTAGTGGTAGAACCATCAAATGAGTGAAAACGAGCAGCTTTTAATATCTCATCTTTGCACTTTTAGTTTATTTTGGAAATACGCAGAATATTTGCACAAAATTTCTCTTGACTTTTATTTAGAGAATAATGAGATTCTATTGTACTATTATTCAAAGTATATGATAAAATGTTAGCGCACATTGATTTTTTTAAGGATTTGTTTAGGCTAATGCAGTGTATGCAAATTTTACATAGGCAGTTAGGTAGAGTATTCCTTGCTTAATAACGTAGGAGAAAATTAACTGCACTTCTTAACTGTACGTCTTCTTCTGTAAATTTCAGTCATTTATGTAAAACATGGTCGCAATAGGACGTTAGCACACTTTAGGATCTTTCAAGTATTTTTTACGGCTAATACAGTATATCTAAATTTTGCATAATATACTCAGGTAAAGCAAATGAAGTCGTTCCCTCATATTGTAGAAGCGGATTAACTGTACTTTATGTCTTTTCCTACAAATTTTCCCAGTTTGTGCAAAAATAGGACAAAATGATAGTCTGTGTAATAATTTGTCTAACATGATAAATTTGGCTGTAAAAAGTTCTAATTATATTATAAAAATAACATAAATTTCTTAGAAAATTTAGGAAACTTTAGGACTTTATAAATTAGCAAACAAAAAATTTCAATTTCCACAATCTTCCCTCAAATACTTCAAACAGCGTTTCACCTCACTAACCTGCCTCACAAAAATTCAATTTAACTTCCAATCATACCATTTTCTCAAAATCAAAACTTTTAGAATTACCGTCAGAAAAAGAAAACAAGTCACAGAAAATTACAAAGTACGTTACCGTTTTGTTACCATTTTCTATTCTAAATACAAAAATTACAGGTCACGGATTCTACTCGAATTAATTTCTTCAAGAATCGTTTCGCGTTGCCACCATCCCGAATTTTGTACATAATATTCATCCCCAGGAAATTATCCCTTACCTTAGGCATTCAAACGCAAACTGGTTAAGGCCAAGACGCGTGGTGGTTGGTAGCTTTTTCGTAAATTCGTAAGTAGCTGCGAAAATTTGTGGTGT